ACCTGCTCGACTCTACGGGCTAAGCTGCGTGTGTTCTGCGTGGAGTTTTCTAGGCGCATGACAGAGAACTGAAAGCACGAAGGGATGGGATCAGTTGACCGTCCCGGTATAGTTATAGATTGATAATGATTGGAGGCCATCGCTATTGGGTTGGAGGCCATCGCCAGTCCATTTTAGGAATTCGGGCCGCGTGCAGGCTCCACGTTGGCAACCCCCTCCGGAGTGTTGGCCCTACAAGGATTATTTACATCCGTACATTGTAGGTGGGGAGAAAATCGAGGGGTTAAACATAGCTATGTTGTCCATTACTGTATACTTGTACAGTATGCGGCACTAGATGGTAGTATGTTCTTACAAGCTGCAAACCTGCAAACTGAACATTCTCACATTTGACAAGTACCCTATGCTAGGATTCCAGCGCCACAGCAACTCCGCAAAGACCATGTCGCCGATGCTTCACCTTCCACGGTGCAGTTGATGAGTGCAAAGTTTTTGGCCCATGATCATGACTACGGTAATCCCTGAAACTGGCTTCATCAAGGTCATCAAAGCTCCAAGTTCTTAGACCAAAGAGTATAAGAGTTTAGTTGGTCTTAAAAAGATAGTGAGTAGATGTTGATGTTGATGTTGATATTACATTTGATGTACTACACATACGCAGAAAAAAAAACATATGTATATATATATAACTATACTTATAATTATATATAAAGCACTATTAAGCTATACCACCAAAAAATGTTAGTTCCTACAAAAGAAAACCATGGTCCACCGAGCCCCTGGCCATCCCCGCAACGACACTCAGACGTCGACGGTTGGCTTCGCAGGACGCTTGGGAGATCTTCGACCCGAATGGCACGGGGCAGATCTCGTGCGCGACACCGGGAGACACCGGTGGCGACAGACTCTGCGGAATCCTGCGGACAGCTGGAGGGTTGTCATGAGACTCTGGATATCCACAAGAAAGGACACAGAAGAACAGAACGGCACTGCACTGCTGTGTTGTCGATCTTTGATTTGTTCCCTGCAACATGTTGGGAGCGGGAAGACCTTGTCATCCATCTCGTAATTAGTTTCGGACCACATGCACATGGGCATGAAAGACCATGGTTGGTGATGTTCAGATTGATCTAAATCTATCCTCAACACTTCCACACTGGGCTTTGCACCGAAGGGCATGGTGCTGGCGTGAGACACCTGTCGGGCATCCGATCACCCGTTGGGTTGTGGACCCGGTGACGAGGGTACTTGTAAGGCACTTGTTACTACTAGTAAGGCACTTGTTCCTAGTAGCGTGGCACTTGTTCCTAGTAGCTTAATTGTACGCGGACTCAGCTGACGCTCCAGGTACGCGGACTTTTGCCGCGTGATGTCCCAGCGCATGCAGTTCGGCAAACACTTGAGTCGGCAGATGTACAAGTGAGCCGTAAAAATGCCGGGAAACGGCCCGGGCCCTTGCTGCTGCACGGCCAACCTGGTACTTGTCACATCTTGTCACATCCCGTTGGTTCCCGTTGGTTAGAGAAACTGTGTGGAGAAACCGCAGACAGACATGGGCCATCATGGACCAACCCAATGATTACAATCGCTCGAAGAATTCAGAATTTGGATACCCCCTCCAACCCCCTGCACATACCATGAGGAAAGAGAAAATCAACTTCACCCACAGCAGTCCCTGTCTCTTCAACATGTGAAAATGCCTGCATTACCGTATATTTTAGCCCATTTATCCCATTGCTGGTGTCATATTTCGTTCATCCTCATTGCTTTATGGCCCTGGCATGTTTGCGGCGTGTCGTATCGCTTTGTCTTACATGTTTATGTCCGCAGAATACGGATGGGCATGTTGGCATGACAAGAGAAGAGCATATCCTCACGTGGTTCCCCACCTTTGAGCACCAGAAGGAGGGGGATGAGGAGTTTCTCCCTAAGAGAAGTAAGGGTAAGAAAGAATCCGCGAAAAAGACTTATCATCAACAGTGTCATCAAAATGAGAACGCTAGACTTTAAAAATCCATCGCCAGCCTCTTTGAAATATCCTCCAGAAGGTGACAATGAATTGGTGACCTTTCTGGCCTCAAGGAGCAGAAACAACCAGCACAAGCTTTGTATGATCATTGATCCCAAAACAAAGAAGGCACGTGCCAAACCGAGCCGTTGGATTCGCACATGTTTTTGATCCACGGACTGGCCATGTGTTTCCGCCTTCAGTTGTGATTGGTCTCATATTATATTTGTTATATGATAATATATATATATACTGTATATATATATATATACATCCCCACAGTCTTCGTTGGGTTTTCAAGCGACCCTGGCTCTTGCCCGGTGGCCCATCCGGCCCTCACGTGGAGCGTTTGCATGATGGGTGCACTGTGTGCGGCTTCATGTGAGATTGTGGAACTCCATCCAGTGACACATTCCCTGCAACTAAGCAGAATTCGCTGGTCAAACCTTCTGACGATGTTTCCGAATTAGGCGGTATTGCTGCATGGTCCACAGCATGGTCAGCATTGTCAACCCATCATCCACTGGAAGAATTTGCCAGTGAATGATTGCGATCATACACCCTGCGCTTTTGCACACACTCTGGTTTCAACAAATCATGTTGCGGGACTGTATGAACAGTAGATTGGGTGCTTTCAGGGATATTCGCTAAGATGGTGCAGAAAAACCCAGGATGCTATTGAAGGCTTACGCTATGGAAAAAGATTGGACAACAAAAACTCAAACACTGAAACATGATGGAGCACAGCCAGTGAGTTAGTCTAAATGGTCATGTACAATCCAACAGCGTTTCCAGCCGCCCCGAACGCGCCCCAATTCACGCGGTGCAAATTCACTGCATCGGATCTATGAGTCGACCTATGCACGATGCGGCGCACGCACCGGCCATGGTCGAAAAGGGTAAGCAGATTGGTTTGACATGATTTCACAATGAATGATCCCGATGAATGCTTGTTGTCCTGAAATGTCCTGAACAAAATGTTAAGTTATGTTAAGTTTACTTGTTGATCTCCACTTTGCCCCTTTGTATTCCAAGGGTCAAGGGAAATAGGCTCTCAGGGAATGAGCTTAATTGAGCTTAAAGATTAGACTTGTTGCCTTGCATGTTTTGTTTGATGTTTGACCATCCCCGCTTTATCCAGAACTAGCTAGCTTGCACATGTTTTCTATTTTTTAATCGAGAGACTGGGGGCCCATCTTTAGCAGCGACCTGGCGACCTCCGGCGATTTTACGGAACGCCATTAAAATATAAGTCTCAAGCAGTGATCCATGTGGTGTGTGTGTGTGTGTGTTTTTGCACGACCAAAAAACCGGCCGAGAGACGATCTATATAGAGGGATCTATAAGACTGAAAACAACTGATGTCTCATGCTTTGCTGCAACATCACATGAGTCATATCACCAGTCATGACCAAGACGGGAAAAGTTACTGTAATTCAGCCGAGAATGGACCAATACCACCAGACCAGAGGGCGCCCGTGGCCATCCGAAAGGGGTTCCCTCCAGTGACCAGTACATACCAGTCCCTTGGAGCTTCCACTCTCGACCTTCCCAACGGCAGCGACGGCGGAACGGCGCACGGCGGTGCTCAGGCGGTGCTCAGGCGCTGCACACTGCAGAGTGGGTGGCCGCCAGTGGCGGCAATGGCGCTTCAGGCGGGACATGGAGATGGCAGTGGAGATCACGGCTGAAGAAAGAAAGAATCCACACATATTATCTGAGATATTATACGGTTGTACCTTTTAAATACAAGCTTGGATATCTCTGATATCTCAGGGCAAAAACTCTTGGCCTTACAAAACTGAGTGTTGTTCAACTTGTCTACTGCGTTCCTGGGTTTTTGAACGATGCCATTTTCTTTCTGTTTAGATATTGCATGAGATGACATGAAAGAGATCTATACTGTCATGCTCTCATTGTCATGCTTGAGTTTTTTTGCGCATGGTTTTTCATCAAGCTTTGGCAGCTTTGCCTGTCATCTTGGACACGAGTCGACCAGCAAGTTGCCTGTCGAGTTGGAACGTGGACGGGTCACCAATCGACAAGCCGTAGTCACTACGTGTAGGGTCTCCATACGTCTCCATTCAACACCCCTTGGAAGAATTTTGAATCGCTAGGTACGGACTACCCTACTATCAATCTCGTTTTGGATGACTGGGGTTGGGCCACATCGATCCAAGCGCATTGATCCCGGGGTTGTTTCGCATTGTTTCGCTGTTTCTCCACCTTCTGAGTGTGAGATGATTGGTCCTCATCACAAAAAGTGGAAAGGAAACGGCTCCACCACCCAGCACACTCAAAGCCGGACCATGATGACATGATGTACTGTTTTTTTCAAATGACCTTTTGCTGTATCAGTCTCCTACTTTTTTTGACAGTGCTCAGATCAGCTGAACAGTGACAATGTTCCTGCCGATGCTTGAGCGGGGATGTGGGGCGGGCATCGCGATCCACCAAATTGTATGGACCCTGTGTAGATGATACTCAACGTCTGAAGGTCTGAAGGTGCCCAGTACTGGCAAGATGTGCAACCGGGTTTTTCTGCTGAGCACAGGAACTAAACGTGGATGGTAGAAGATGTTCATGATGTTCACTACTGTTCTGCCACACCAAATCACATCCCTTTCCATCACCGAATCCATACATCAACTGGGATTTTCTTGATTTTGGCCTTACAGCCTGTACAGCAGTTCCTGCAATTGTGCCATCTTATGTTTAGACATTGGAGATTGACATCGTTCAAGCCAGACGGCCAGACGGAGTGGCCTCGCCGGTGACCTTTGCTTTCTCGGCTCGCCAGGTTTGCGGAGAAGAAGACGTGAGAGTCTAATACGACATGTCAGGTGTCTACCCGGTAGAGCTGCAAGCACCTGGAAATATAATGTTGTGGCTGTTCCGCAGGGCCGGAAACTTCATTCTGCCAGTTATAAGGATCAATCAGCTGTAGCATACTGAGTACTGTATACTGTATACATGGCATATCGACGGTCGACGTGCACTAAATCCAACGGTGCGGTTGCGCTTCGCTCGCCGGTTAGGCGGTGCGGAGAGTTGCGCTTCGCTCCTTGACATCTGGCCTTCCATCGAAAAGCCGCCATGTCGGCCCTTCCGTCGGAAGCTGCCATCTTCATCGGTCTAGCTGGAGGCATGCGTGCGTCGCGTCGGCCGACGCTGCACTCGGTGCAGGGTGCGGACCCAAAGAGAGTCGTCGTTGTTGTTTTCGTTTGTTTTTGAAGGGGGAGGAGGGGTAGGCTGCTAGGAGGTAGGTAATGAGTAGGTAGAAGCTAGGGAGTCGCTACTACCTACAAGTAGCTTCTACATATGGACGCAGGAGCGCTCGCACTAATGATTTGGTTCCTATATGTTTTTGGGAAAGTTATATAACTTAGTGGGTCATCAGGATCAGGACATCCGCCACAAACAAATGAGACATTTGTGGAGAGCTAAACTTGTAATGCCAAGTTTCGAGACATCATGGAGGCATCAGAGTGGAGCCCCACAGCCATTTATGGACAGTATCATACAGTATCTCTCATTCAAGCCACCTGTGATACAGATGTCCTGTCATATGTTTAAAGATCTTGCAAGTCTTCAAACCACAATCCAACTACCAAGGGAAGTGGACTCCCTGGCAAGACTCTGAGCATGTTCTTTTTGTCGATGTGGTGGGATCAAACGGGTTCCCTCCAGAAGGTTGACACATAGAACTTCAAACCCGAACTCGCCGCTTGGACCCATATGATATATATATATATATATGTTTACTTAGTTTTCCAAAGTGGTTCATTCCAAACCCATCCGCGTTGTTTTCGGCTTTCTAATCGGTTCTATGATGTTCTATCTGGGTAAATCTCTCATATCGGTGTGACAGGACGTGTGTTGCACGCAGGAAGTGTGTTGCAGTCGTGCTGATGAATATGTGAGGCGTGCAGGTGCTCTTCCTGTGGAGCACGTGCTCATTCTTGGTGAGGCACCTGGCAGAGATCAGGCGCCTTGGGTTTCCAGGCCATCATGTTTAGTGCTTGGATTCTTTAGAATCGAAGACCCACGGGAAGTACGGATTCCACAGGCCATCAGGGCTGCACCAGGGGGGTGTTGACTGCCTGCAAACGAGGGCCAGTCAGATTTGTTGGACGAACCCACCAGGTATGGTCCAACGTGGTTGAGTTTCTGTTAGTTCGGTTCGGCAGCTTGGTGCCCTGTTGGTTCGGGGCGATTGTCGGCGATCGCTGTCGGATGCTGTCGGTTCTCAGGAGATTTGGGGCCTTTCTTCGCGAGGCATGCACAAGAGCAAGGGCAAATGTGTTACTTGGTGGTGTTGATCCAAGTCTAAGTATTTGGGCAGTGGTTCAAACATGTTCAAACAACTGCTGCTGCTGCTTGTGTTTATTCACTACTGCTGTTCTGGGTGTTGTGTCGCAACCTGCTGCTCCAATGATACCCAATGATTTCATGGCCTTGGCCTCGATGCATGTTTTCCTCATCTTCAACCCACAGAAGGACAGACCGAGTTACATTATTCAAGTTTCCCTAGGAACCAAATCATTAGTGCGAGCGCTTCTTCAAGGAAGCTTCCCCCGCCGCCTTTAGCGCGGCGGGGGGGAGCTTCGTTGAAGAAGTGTGAGCTATCCTGCATCCTGTCGCTAGTAGCGTTCTTGTAGCTACTAGCTACCTCTTCTACTAGCTACCTACCTAGCTACTACTAGCTCTACCTCACCTCTAGCGGCCTACCCCCCAAAATAGAAAGATGTGATGAAGGGTATCTTTTCCCCCACACGTCGATCAGAGGGGATCCCTCCACATACATCGCCACATCGCTGCCGCTCGGTCCGCGCAAGTGGCTGCACCCATGCGGCACCCCCCCCAATGGGCGCGATCAAGCCTTGAAAGGAGTTGGACGCATTGAATATTTACATGTATTTCGCGGGGGCTCCTGGCATCGCTACTAGGAGCAAGGACGCTACTAGGGGCTCCTGGCCGTACTACTAGGAGCAATGTTCGCTACTAGGAACAAGTAGCGTATGTTCAGCATTCAAAGTTCCGAAGGTTCAACAACATGGCATGAAGGTGCCAGCAGCAGTCGTTTTGTTTCATGAGGCAAGAAAGGTAGGCCGACAACTCCACCAGTGGTCCACCAATCATCTCAATAGATTCAATAGAGATCTCATGGGAAGCGTAAGGAAGCATCAGTGGATGCATCTTCGTCACATCAATTCCCTGATTGATTCCTATATTTGCGTCATTTGGGGCGACATGTCTTCAGTGACTTGGGGCGACCCAGGAACGGCCAGAGCACGGCAGATGATTTCGAGGAGCTCGTCTTGCACGAGATGCAGCGACGAAGGAGCCGCCTTGCGGGCGGCACCTGGGCATTGGCGGTTCGAGTGGCCCATGGAGAACGCTTGTTTTCGTGCGGAGGGCTATGCTGTTCGATGAATCTGTTGTGGATTTGCTTGAAGTTTCATTTTGGATCTGCTTCTTGTTGCTTTTCTGGCTCTTCATTGCTTCTGTGTGATTTCTCCAAGTATTCTTGCCTTTCTTGTTTTTTCGATGTGTGTTTTGCTTTTCCTTGCTGTTCAGTCATTGCTTCCCTGTGGTTGCTCCTGCTTTTCTTGCTTATCCTGCCTGCTTTTCTGTGCGTGTCTTTCTTTTTCTGTTTGCTGTTCATTGCTTCCCTGTGATTTCTCTTGCACTTCTGGCTTTTCCTGCTTCTTTTGCTTGTCTTGCTCTTCCTTGGCTTTTCTCCTATTTTCTTTACTTTACTGCTTTTTGTCCTCTTGTGGCGTATATTTTCCCTATTTGAATCGCTCTTGCTTTCTATGGCCTGTTTTGCCGTCGCTGTTTATTAGTTGCGCCTTGAGTTTGTGTTGTTTATTGCGTGCTTTTGTTTGTTTGTTTTAATATGTGTTAATTCTAGATGTCGTGCTTTTTTTGTTTGTTTTTTTGCTCTACTGGTTGTTGTGTTTTGTTTCATCTTAAGGGACAACCCAAGTGCATGATATGAACACATGTACTATGAACAAAACTCTTTCGTTCCTTACGCCCTTCTCGATTACGTGCTCCAGTCATATATTTTTGCACACAAGATCTAGATACCCTGAAACAATCAATGGCCTCCTGAACAGTTGTTTCTTCTGCAAACAGTTAGCTAGCTTTCCACTTCCACTGGAGGAAGTATAGAGAAACCAAGACCGCAAAAACAACTCCCCAAGGCGGGTTCACCAAACGGTTCATATCCCCCACCACTATCAATGAAGAGATCAAGGTAACCACTACTTGCAGCTTTAAAGTTGTCCAAGAGCCGTCATCATGGGGGCCACTTAGTGGGTTTTGCATTTTCATACGTGTGAGTGATCTCAGTGATCTCTTTTGCTTTTGTATTAAGACCAACATTACACTCCCCGTGAAGAATCAGTGGCCCCTCCAGGTCTAGAAAGTCCAGAGGAAGACCTTCAAGCGTAGACCAGGCAACCCATAGCAACCCATTGCCCGAGGTTGCTCCCCTTGCCCCGACAGAAGTGAAAGCGGTTGTAAACTGTCAATGATAGCATTTGAGTCCGACACCACTTCCAGCAGCAGTTCATTGACCTATGACATAAGCCAATCTCTCTTTGGGCTTCGAAGTAGTCGTCCCGTGGTGAATAGACTCACCTCAACAATCGCTCAGGCCTCATCGGGATGTATGCTGTAACTCGGCGCAAGGAGCCAAGGGTAGCTAGCAAAGATCTAGAAATCCCGAAACCACGATTATCAGACTCCGATGAACAATCATGCTCGATTCACGATTCAATTTTTGGAGATATGTTGATGCATGTATGTCCATATATATATATATACATATATCATATATGTGTGTAATATTTGTGGCGCCGTGGTGATTGCCATGCTGATTGTTGCACATTTAAATAGATGGGATACCTCCAAGTGTACAACCAATAGGTATTTGATACCAAATCGACCCCTCTATGATGCCTGAATGGACATCACGGGTTTGGTTCCCAGCAAGTGGCTGAAGAGCTTTAGCTGGATTCGAGGCTCTAGAAACACCGCCACCCAGGTCGTTTGCTGCGGATTCATGCTCACCTTTCAGCTCAGAGTGGAGGAGGCGTGGCGACAGTGCGGGGCACTACTCGGAAGGGCAGAGTGGCCACTACCTACTCGGCCCAATCGGATCGGCATTCGAACACATCACAGGGAAGTGGATGGCATGGTGTGGATCACAGGAAGACGACCACCTTCCTTTAGGAACAGGGGGTGAACTCCATGATTTCCATGTGACGTGTTCGTCGGAGTGTAACCCAACCAAAGCTGGATCCAGGTGCAGAGATGGGCAAAACTGGAACAGACCAAGAGCCAATTAGGTAGTCTTTGACTTGGTTGGGAGATGCTGGGAGGCCACTTGAAATTGATATTTCATGGTTTGTGGTGGATCAAGTTCCACTGAACTTCTTTGCAGCCACTCCTCCAAAAAGTCGAGGATTGGTTGCCCATGATCAGCTGGGGCTGCCTTGCGCATGCCTCCTGCCTCACGCTTTGCTTGTGGATTCCCGCGCTGATGAAGTGGGAGTCTCGGTCTAAGACCTACGTGTTTGGTGAAGGGGAGACCTGCATAATTAGGGACACCTAACCCTGTGCACGACCATGGATTAATAGTTAATCAGCACCCATCCACACCCCACCGCAGACCGCGTTTAGTTCCCTTTTTGGGATGCTGCAATTGAATGCTCATCTCAGGATCTCTTCTATGTGCTTTTCTGCTGGTCTTGCCTTTTCTACCTGAGTCCCTTGGTCTCAGAGCCTTTGCAATACCTGGAGATCTCTTGGGCCTTTCTGCTGGTCCTGCGCATCCCTTTGGCCACTTGGAAGAAGTCCCCACGAAGAAACGTCCGCGAGTGCCAAACGTTTGTGCCGTTGTGCTGCGGTTGGGGCCCTTGAAGGACCTGGTGCCAGTGACAGAGATGTATGATTTGAAATCAGGAGATATATGGAGATATTCAGACAACAACCTCGGAGATACGTAGGACCTAGGATCTAAATTATAATCTAATGTTGATGGAAGATGGAAGACATATGTTGCGAAGTCCACACCTTGAACTCTCAAAACACTATAGACTCATAGACTGTCAATCCCATCTCATGTGGTCCAGGTCTTTTTCTCATACTTGCAGCAGGAATTGATAGACCCCTGGCAGCCAGTCCAAGACTTGCTTCAGGCAATCATACCGAGAAAGATCCTCTCACCGTTCCTGTGCAACCTGGGTTTTTGGCTGATGCTTTTGGCACGGCTTCTGATGGATGACTGGAGTTTGGCGGAATCCCTCACTACAGGCGGCCTGGATGATGTGACAGCCACGGTGGATGGTTGGTGACGGGTGATGTTCCCTACAGGAACCGGTATTTCTCTGGGATGTTTTTCGTTATTTTTTTCGGGAATGTGTTTCGCGTTTTCTTTTTCCCCTACTGCCTGCTTTTGCTTTTTGCTTCTGCTTCTGCTTTTGCTTTTTTGCTTGTGCTTTTGCTCCTGCTTTTTGCTTCTGCTTTTGCTTCTGCTGACTATCTTCTTTGCATTGACACTGCCACAAAGTTGGATGATAAGACCTTCACCTTGAGCTTTGACACCCAATTACACCAATCAACCCAGAGCTGTCTATATTTGATTTGATTGCGGGGGAGGCGCTGCGCCCTCCCCCGCACCCCCTCCTGCTTCTTTTTTTAAATATAGCTCCCACTACCGTCCACCACCCCTACTATTTCCAATACCTCTATCACTCGGACCACCCCGCTACGAGTCTTACCACAGTTACCACTACTATTTTCTTTGCGTTGACACTGCCACAAAGGTGGATTTCTACTTTGCTTAGCCCAAAGAAACCCGAAACCACTGAAAGACAACCGCAAAAGAAGTCCCTATTATAGTTCCTCTCTCCTCTTCCCTTCTCCTTCGTTAAGTGGGATGCCTTTTCCGGAAGAAGCCTAAAGAAACCCTAAAGACAAGAAACCGAGCCCAAAGAAACCCGAAACCAGTGAAGCCTAAAGACAACTGCAAAGAAGTCCCTAGTAAGTGGGATACCTTTTCTGTTCCCTCCCTTTGTCACTGTCACGCTGGCTTTGGTGCTTCGTCCCCTGCCCTTTCTGCTGCTCCTAGTGCTGGTTGTCTTTTGGGCTTCACTGGTTTCGGGTTTCTTTGGGCTTGGCTTCTTGTCTTTAACCAGTGAAGCCCAAAGACAGCCGCAAAGAAGTCCCTATAGTAAGTGGGATACCGTTTCTGTTCCCTCCCTTTGTCACTGTCACGCTGGCTTTGGTGCTTCGTCCCCTGCCCTTTCTGCAGCTCCTAGTCCTAGTGCTTGTAAAGCACTCCCAGCAGAAGCACAAGCAAAAGCAGTAGTGAAAAAAACGTGAAATAATTCCCGGAAAAAACAGCTGAAACAGTACCGGAAAAATAATCCTTCTCTACACGAAAATTGTGTTGATGGATGGAGACGGTTTCGCATGCACACGTTTACTACAAAGGATGTGGACTCAGGAGGTTCTGAGCTTTGACATCGTTTGACAGTTCCACCCAATAACTCTTCTCTTCCCAGTGTGTGTGTGTGTGTCCAACCCTGGAAAAAGGGTCTTCCAACACTTTTCCTCA